ATTGAATTCTTTTGTGTTACTCTGAAGAGGAAAAAGTCAGGTCCATTATCTCTGTTTTTGAAGCTGGAGAAGAGATCTCAGTTTGCCAAATTCAATTTATTGCTTTACAAATACATTTGTACAACTGTGGTATAACCACAGCTAAACTGCCTTAGGTTGCCAATACTGTGCAGTACCAAGAGGAACTTTTTTTGCTCTGGGAAGCTTCTCTGTCTCAATTCAAAAATAAACAATATGAAGGACTGTAGGTTTTTGATGGCCAAAATAAGAACCTGCCACTTCCAGTCAATATAACTAAGAAATCTTGAGTGGGAAATGATAAGGAAGTGTGAGTAATTTCCCTTCCCCAAATTATATCATTGGTGAAACATTTTGAACTGTGTATCCTGAAACAAGATGGTTCTTTGGATGGTTTGGGTTACTGCCAGTCAGGACTCCTTTCTTCTCAAGTTATTGGTGTGTTAAAGTTCAGTGTGATCCCTCAGCCTGCTAGCCCTTTTGGGAAGGAAGGCTGGCCAGAAGTTAAAAGAAGCTAAGGGATGACTAGTTTTGAGTGCTAGCCTCAGTTCTGCTGTTGCATCACTCTGTGATCCTGGTAAGGAATTTCCTTTGTCTGTGCTTCATTTTGCCTTTCAATAAAACAAGGGTAATGGTTTCAAAAAGATATTGTACCAATGCCAACCCCAAGCATTCCAAAATCTTGTTTTTATTTAATAAATAATAATTTACATAAGGTATAATTTTTCAAGGTCTTCTCCAAAATCATGAGAACAATCCTTCACTTTCTAAAAGGAAAGGTGAGCTCTTCACTTAGTCAATTAGCACTAGAAAGTGGGGCTTTAAAAATATCAAATATTGCAGAGTTTATTATTAAGATTGCAAAACTTGGCCGGATTGGTCTTTGATAACAAATATTGGTGAAGTGTGTCATGAGATTCTTTAACAGTACTGAAGTAGCACATGTGTCTGCACTAGAATTTTTAAATCCAAATAAAAATAGTTTAACATCATCACTTCCTTTTACAATTTGGGTGAATAAAGACAATGGCCCTATTTAATACCTGATATAATGGATGGAACTACCAAAGACTGTGGAATCACAACTTTTCCTGAATGAACTTTTTCTGGCCATCGCTAATTCTGTGGTAATAACCCCTTTATGCTGAAAGGTAATTTCCTACTTCACCCCTGCTGAATCTGATGTGTTCATTTTTCCACCCAATTTTCCACTGCTTTTCATTTTCCTTCTGGCCTCCCTATCACTTCCAGTACGTTTCCCCCTACCTTACATGCCTGAACTATTGCTCAGCCACCACAAATCAGTCTATAAAACTCAGATATTTACTGTCTCTTTACTGTGGTTTGGGGACAGGAATCAAATTAAAAGTTCTTTTATTTAAGACTTTTCAGTCTATTAATAGTCATCTTATGTTGTCCTCATACAAATCCATTTTTTTTGCTTTCCACATTGGTACAACATAGATCAGGATCAATTCTCCATTTAAAGAGGGCTTACACGTAATATGACTGTGAATAGACTGAGAAAGGTAGAATGTAGTGGGTATGTGAGCTGAGGTTCATGCAGCAGTTTTTGTACTTAATTAGTCCGATTGTTTTTGCCTGCTTAGATCTACACTGGTTACTTCAATGGAGTAACTCCTGATATGCACCCGAGTAGGTAAGAGCAGACTTAGGCCTAAGCTTTTTTTTTTTTTTTTTAATAATCAAATTAGCACCTTTGACATCTTATGCTTACAAAGGGAGAGCAAGACAGATGTTCCCAAAGCAGAAGTAATATTTTTTATTTGCACTAATATTTAGTGGGTCCAAAAACCATGAGTGAGTGCATTTTCCCATGTGTTAAATCAGTCCCTGAAGATTATGCAAATATGTGTGTGTGTGTGTGTGTTAATTTTGTATTCAGATAAATTTTGTTTTCCCTTGTAATAAATCACTAATATTATGAAACTTTGTTTTAAAGGAGTACTTTTATACTGGGGAAAGCCATTCAAATATAGATTGTTGAAGAACATCTAAAAAGTAATATATACTTAAGATATGTATTCATTGCCCTTAAGAAGAACATCTTTCAGATTTGCTCCATCTACCCTCCCTCCTGTCTAGAGGTTATGCAAAAGTCCTGGAATATGACATCACAGTTGTTTCTATATGACACAATGGAACCTCCAACAGATGTTAGCTTTACATATGTAAATGTGATGTATTATTTATAAATAGTGATGTACTCAAGGCCAGAAGTTTGGCTCCAGATCTGAACTTCCTCAAAGTAAAAGAAACCTTTGGCTCTGAATTTTGGGTCCTGGGATGTATGAAATATATAGTGTGTCTATCCCTTTTCAGGATAATAAACAATGCTGTTCATTTTAACAGGAAAGCGTTAGTCAATAACCCATGTTATTCCATTCTTTAAAGACAAAAGTGAGGGAGATGGAGGCATGGGAACAAGTGTGTGTTTGTATATGAGTGTGTTTTGACACACTTCCCCTGCTTCCTTATTTGCAAGTGGCAGCAAGATCCAGCTCCATTGAGCTGTGCCACACACCTGGCTTTGATATGCTTTAAAAACTTTATCTCTGAATATTATGGTATTTTTAGAGGAAGAGCCCTACGCACTGATGCTTTCAGAGTTGTCATGCCCTGGAATCTTTGTCCAGTGGCTTCGCTGAAGTGCTATGGCAGTAAGTAAAGAGAGTCTTGAAGTGTTTCAAAGTAGGGATCACAGTTTAGCTGAAAGATAACCCCACAGATCAATCATACCCCTGCCATTCACAATCACATGACATCACTGAGTGTCTACAGCAATTGCTTCCATGGAAAAGAAATCTTATGAAAATGTTACATGCATTCTTAGTTTTTTTGAAATGTGGTTTGGCAGCTAGCAACACTGATGAGGAGCTAGAACCACAAGCCCAGGCAGCACTATGCAGGTCACCCACCAGTAACACAGACCACACCCTGGGAACCACAGATATGTCAGAATATTCTGGTTGCTTCTTAACAGGGAACTGGAACTCCATTCAATACATTGGTTGCTTCTGCAGAATAATAGTAAGCAGAAAGGAAAAGTCTGTTGACTTGGAAGGAAATGGGTCGGGCCTCTACCCCTACAATGTAGTCCAGGTGACTTGAGCCATTCACATCTTGGTCAAAACATTTCTAGGTTTTACCTAGCTCTGGAAAGTGAGAGAAGTCTATAGTGAAGTTCATGTTTGACTTTTATGTAGGTCAAGGACAATTTATAAATACAGGCTACTGGCCCGGGGCCATCTTGGTGCATTGCTATTTTGGACTTTGACATTGAAAGGCCAAGGCCTACTGAAATCAGTGGCAAAATTTATGTTGTTTTCACTGGGACCAGGATTTGATGGCAAAAGTTGAAGTACCAGTTTGATGCTGCTCTAACTGTACCAAAGCTTTCCCTAGAAAATAGCTCAGGACACAAGCAAGCAGTAGGTTCAGAATTAAAATTTAATCTGGTTGAACAACGACTGGGAAACAGGAAGTGAAAATTGTCAGCTGTGCCTAGATCCATTCAGCTCACTTCAAGGGACAGTTTTGATACCAAATTATCCTTGTTATGCAAATTTCCTCACCAACCGGCTGGTTCCCAGTTATGCATGGGGAGAAGCAGTGGCCACATCTGCTTCCCGTTTTGCCCTTTCAGAGATGAACCATCTGTTTGGCCTCATCCCGAACAGCCTGCTCAGTGCTGATTAACTTCCTCACCCAGCCAGCCCAAGGCCTACTGTGTGCTGCAAGGTGTAGATGTTTTTTTTCTAACTGCTTATAAACCAGAACCTTCACTTCTCTCCCAAGGGACAGGAAGGCGTTGGTTTGTGTGATTTGCTGTCACCACCAGCAGCAGAAACAGCACCAGCAGCTGCCCTCCCTCCCTCACGCACTCCCTCACTCACTCACTTACTTAATGTGTGTGGCTGGGATAGATAAAACTGGGAATTGTCCCATGACCTGGAACATTCTCTAAAATAAGTGAGATCTTATTTTTAATAATTTTTATATACACACACACACACACACACACACACACACACACATACATATATATATATATATATATAAATAAGGCTTAATGCTATAATTCTTAATTCAACAACTCTGATGGCACTTTTTGCACATACACATTCTGTCCAACCAAGGACCACAACATTGGACTCTTGCAGTAAGGCCTGGGCACTTCTAGCCTGGGCATTTTAAACTCAGCTTTGAAAGTGACTCTCTCCTTCTGGCCTTGGGTTTTCCAAAAAGGAAAGTGTCTTTTTTTTCTTTTCTTTTTTTTTAATTTGGTTGGGAGTCTTAATTTTTGGATACCCAGCTTTAGATGACCTCAGGCCAAGTTTTCAGAAGTGCTAAGGATCTGTAGCTCCCACTGGTTTTAAGTATGGTTGGGGTTCCTTTGCAGCTCTTAAAAATAAAGTCCAGTTGTTTTGTACTGAGTCCCTAAAGCCTCTAGTATTAAGAATAAAGCCCACTGGATTAGGAAAACTAAAGCCTGAACTTTCTGTACTTCAGTTACACTACTTGGCACACCAGATGGTGATGCAACTTATTTCCATGTTTTGGTTAGGGTGAGAACACTTCCATTGCACTCCTTTCTCGGCTGGACTTTATCTCCTATGATGCACCATGGGCATTTAGCTGAGGAGAGTATGGTGCATCATGGGATGAAGAGTCTGACTATGAAGATTTGCCCATAAAGGGTGATGAGGCAATAGAACTGTGACTCCCATGAAGCAATGCAGCAGTACTGCAGTTTCACCATATTTTGAGTTTCAGCAAGAGTATTTTTAACTCTTCAATTTTTTTGTCCATCTTTTGAAGAAAACTTCAAAATGCCAGTAGCAAGCTCCCCTCCCATCCCCACAAGCCCTCCCGTTTCCTGACCAGCTGTCTTCCAAAGACAGGTCCTTGATGGTCCAGGAGGCTCTTTCCAGTTTCCAGTTCTATGTCCCTAATAGAACTTGTTCAGCCTATAGAAGAAATCAGGAATAAATCTGATAAAGCTGAAAATGTATTGGTATTTTTCATAATTAAAAAAAAGTAGCAGTGTCACATTATCAGACCCAGGTGTCTGAAGTTAGGCTTCTATACCCCCATTTTCATTACTAGATAAAAGTTGCCAAGTTTTCAAATGTGCTAGAGGCAAAGATTTTTGTGGGTGGTATCTTTTATTGGACCAACTGCATGGTTGGGATAGACTTAGACAAGCTTTTCAGTGCAATATGTTCTTCTTCAGGTCTCAAACATTGGGATTTCCTTCATTCTAGTTTTGACTGAAAAGGGATAGATGACTGCTGAGCACTTCTAAAAATACCTATTAACTTTTAAATTCCTAAATGTGCATTTGAGAGTCCCAGTGTGTATGTGAGATACTGAAAGTTGAAATAATAACCAGCGTTAATTACACTTTTGAATTTATTTAGCACTTCTACAAAAAGGGGGCCTGTCGATCTTCAACAGCATCTGATCAAAATTAATTAGATTATAACATTGGCTTATGAAAAACCATAAAAACTACCACAAGAGAAAGTCATTGAAACATGTTGGATGTGCAAGGGCCTCAAAGCTCTCGCAGTTTTTAGCCACACAAACTGTTGTTGAGTCTATGAGTGTAAGTGCAATGAGGGTCTTCGCTTGAATTTAAGGATGTATTCAGTGTTACTAACACTATCACATTTGGATCAGAATATGTGAGTGGTATTAGTTAAAACTGCCCATGTTAATTTTCCTGAGTGCTGATTACTGAAATTTAAAACTGTCATGTAAGTAATTTTGTTTGACATGAGCTACGTTACAAAAAAAGGAAAAAAAGAAAGAAAAATGCAAGAGTTTCTCTTAAAGTGCACCTAGATCTTTGCTTATATAATTAGCAATATCATTGGTTCCCTTTTACCACATGAGGATTTGAGGTGCCCATAAATTGCAAACCACTGTGTAAGATGGTCTCAAACATTTTGTCCTTCATTGCATTTTACTCACAAATAAATAGGTGTAGAAGATAAGAGTGATAAACTCAATGTGCCTTATATAAACAAAATCTGATTTCTGTTTACCATACATGATATCAAAGCCTTAACAGGGAAAGTGTTGGTTTTTGATGGGAACTCTGTTCATTAGAAAGGTCTGGAGAGAAACTGCTGTGACAGTAAATAATAATGGATATAATTTCCAGGGCAATGTGCTCCTAAAAACTATGATCCTCTTCAAGCAGGACAACTGTGTTCTCTAAAGCCCTACCCTTGTCGGCGGAAAGAGAGAATGAGAAGAGAGGGCTGAAGACACAAAGACAGAGAGAAGTTAAATCAAGTCAGTCAAGGAATGGGCACTAGCACAGTGATTTCAGGGCCAGCATGGAAGTCGGTGGCTTAGTACGTAGTAGGCTTAACTCAGCTGTGAGGCTTGGAGCCTGCTGATGCTCCATGTGTCATACTGTCTTTGTACTTTAGTTGAGAAAACTGGGGGCTCCCTAAATTTGCCTAGCTTGTAAAAGCCACAAAGTTCCTTGTGTAGGCTGTCCACAAGAGAAGAATCTCCCATGCACCAGAGTGGCTCACCCTAGGACATTTTCATTGGCTTCATAGCATAAAGGTGTGGCACAAGGCACTGGCAATGTGGCTGAAAATCAGACCAGCATGACATAAAGGCTGTGTGAAGGGTTCTGCTTTCCCACTGGGTTTTACGTTGGTTTCAATCTATTGACTTTTATATGGTTCCTGATTCATACTTGTGTGTACAAGAACAGAATCAGGCCACATGTCAAAAAAGCTGTATTTCATGCTCCTGTTCTCTCTCCCCCACCCAACTGCTTTGAGAAATGTACACACAGTCCTACACACAGTCACACTTGCCTGCAATGAGGCACACATGCACAAAAGGATTTACTCTGTGCACATTGCCATCCAGCATCCAGGGAAGAATTTTACCAAGTTCTTTCTTACAAGATATGTCTAACTCTGCAGACATAATTTAATTACACTTCAAATCTTATGAAATTTACTTGATTTTTTTTAAATACAATGGTCTCAAAGAAAAATGGGGTTACAATATAAAAATCACAGCAAAAAAAGGTGTAAATACACTTGTCTATATATCGAATATAAAAGGCAGTGTCAGGGGAAAGGGCTGAAAGAGAATCTGAAAAGCAGTTCTTAATGTTATTTACATTTTTCTTTTAACAGCTACCAACTTAAAGCCATTCCACTTGTTCACTCTTTTTGGGGTAGCAGTAAACCATTACTGGGTGGTATTTCAGAGCGATTACACTAAATTGGTTATCTAAGGGCACAATTTGTTCTCAGACACAGAGGGTCTCCTACTATGCAGGTTTTTTTTCACACCTGTGTTTATCCCAATAAATAAAATTATCAATATATTTATTTCCAAACAGAGGCTGATTCTGTGCAAGAAGTATGAAACCCAAAGCCCCTTCTAGAAGCTGTTGCTCCTGCTTTTAGACTACTCCCTCTGATACACTGTATCTTGACATACAACCTGTTATTTACTGTAGAATATAAATAGGGAAATCCAAGAGTCCAAGAAACACCTTCGCTGTGATTGATATTGTAGTATTATATAATACACACAACCACCAACAGCTGTGTGTGCATGTCCATATGAAAAGGTGACAAGCTCACACACATCAGCAATACAAAAGCAGAGAAATCTTGTCATAAGCCAGAACTCACGTAACTTTTACAGCCATGTTGAAGGCCAGATTTGATGCAGACTTGTGCCTGCTTATCCCAGTAACAAATCAAGCTTTACCCATACTGGGTGTTAGTAAAGAAATGACCCAAAATGAACTACTATGCTTACTGCCTGAGCTGTTTTGAATGAAAGAAAAAAAAAAGGCTGGCGAAAGGGGGTGGTTGCAAAAGCTAAAGATGAAGTAATCCTGTAGGGACAAAGATTTTTTTTTTTTATGTTATCTTTTATTCAACTATCTGTATTGTTGGGGGCAAGATGTTAGGCACAGACCTAATTCTGTAGCCTGTGAAATGGTCCAGGTTCTGAGAGGTAGAGAAAGTGTAAAGGGAAAGGACAGGTGAATGACTTTGTGTCAAAATCTGGGGGTTTAAAAAAGAAAAAGAGCATAGATTCTTAATTACTAATATTAGTGTAACTTATTTCTGTCCTCCCTTTTAGTTTTATATCAGAACTTTCCTATAAGGCTGGTTGAATTATATTGTTTCACTCTCATTGAGTTTGTCAAAAACAGGCTCAGTGAAGAAATCTCTGATTAGACTCAAAAGTTTTGAGAAATCTCTGATATACAGGGCCGTTCTCTACTCAGGCATAGCTCTTCAGTCAGTGCAGTTATACTAGTACAGTGATCACAGCTGGGGATATTGTCTGTACTACTATCTCTTTTTTGATATCTTGTCTGCAGTATGACAGATATTAGCATTTTTCCCTACCCGTGTAGGTGTGTGTAGGTTTATACAGTGCATTCTTGTACACTGAAAGGATGTGAACATATATTCTATCACTATCCATGGAGCCTGCCTTTTACAATGTGAATATTAGGTGAACATATGCTAGGTACTGAACTAGGAAGGATGAAGTGTGAAGTGCATGTCTTGAGTTTAATCTCCAGAAGTTTCAGTGGAGTTGCTCCTAATTTACACCTGTATAAGTGAAGGCAGAACCAGGAACAGTGTGTTTATAGAGCGGATGTATATATTCTTGGATCAATTTATCCTTGGTGGAGAGAGAGACTCAGTTCCAATTTGGATTTGTGTGCATGCATGTTTGTATGTGTGTAGAGAGGGAGGGAACAGGCATAAGTGTATTGCAAGCCTTTTAAAATATGGTTTTTGTTGTTTACATGATGTTGTTTAGTGAGGAAATATTCCAGCTCTGATGAGAGATTCTCAGCTCAATTGCATACATCTCACAGTTGCCCAATCTTAAAACCAAAGGAGAGGAATGCATTATTTGGAATAGGAACTACAGAGGGGTTGGGGGTGCCGGGGGGGGGGAGGGGACAGAGGGACAGGACAGTCTCTTTGCTCTTTATATGGATTTTCATGTTAACACAACTGAAATTCTGATTTGGGGAAAGCTTGCCAAGGGATTCTATGAGTTGGATTTTGCAGTTCTTGATCCTGATAAATACTCTGCCCTCTCAGAGTGCCTACACACCTACTAACTCAAAAATCAGAGGGTCCACTTCCATTAAGATGGCCTCCTCCCATGCTTAGTTAGGCACATACTGAGGCATGGTTCTGGAAGAGGGTTAGGGGATACAGCCCTTATTGAATAGTTAGTTTCAGCGAAAAGAGAGAGGGCCACTCATTTTGGAATGGCTTAATTCATTGTACCTCTGTAAAAAAAGTGTTAGGGGCAAAATTTTCCTAGTGCAACCCATAACTTTTACAAGACTCACTGTGCAAACAGAATAGGCATTTTTCATATATGAAACAGTATAGGCAGAGATTCTTCCAGCCAGTTGTAAAAATGCTGCCCCCAAAATGAGTGTTTCATAAAAACTAGTCTCCAAACCTTTTTCTAGTTAGTTCACTCTCCTGCTATCCTGTACTTTAAGAAAAAAAATTAAAACGTACTTTAAAAAAATTGCCGTAAATTGTCTTTGTTTGCTATGTGGAGAGGTTTCTAATCTTTATGTTGTTAAGGAAAAGCGAGGTTTTTGTTGGATAGGGAGGGGCAACATTTATTTTTAAAATACAACAAAACCCCTTGCTATGCACAGATGCAACTCCCACTCCAGGGGGTGTATTACAAGGGCATTTCTCATATCCTTGCAACACCTGGTCTTGTGCCTCAGAATATAAACAAGGCAATATAATACACACCTTGGCAGGTATGCTGTCTTATTTTACAATGCTGCTACAGTAGCAACACCCTAGGAACCCAGATTTCACCCTCAACCTATTCTAGAGTATCATTGGTGCCACCGTGTAAGCCTGGTTGGGCCCCTACTGAACTCTTCCCAGTGAGCCAAATAATAGTGGGACATCAAAAAAATCCATATCTGCTGTAGTAAGAACCCTATTCTTATTATCTAGCACAGTAACACTGAAAGAGTTAAGCCAATTCTAGTTCTCATCTAGGTTTCTGTGCACTGTGCACAAGGTTAGCTGTTTTGGCAAGGGACGTTTGCAGGAAGCAACAGTTAAAAGGAAAGGGCTTCGGCTACCGGACTATAAAAGCGCCTACTTACATTACTAAGGGTTTTTTGGTGATCCAAAGAATTGAAATAAAAACGTCAATACTCATTTTATAAAACTGAGTTTTGATGCATGCTACTGAGAGGTGTGAAGTTTGCTGGGGGGGCAGGTCTCATTTGCTGTTACTGTCCAATAGATTCATGCCTTGCACTTGTGTTGCTCACACGTCTCCAGGAATGTGTCTGTCCAGGGGGAGTTTTAACTCATGTGGAAACGGTGCTCCCCACGGGTTATGTGGGAAGAGAACTCATACCTGTCCTGGCTGTGGTAGCCACACATGTTGCATTCGAAGGGATCGCGGAAGCCGTGACAGCCCATGTGGATGGTGTACATGACATGATCCAAGAAAAGGACTCTACAGTGTTCACACTTGTAAACTTTCACTTGTTCCCCGCTGCTGCTGATCACTTTGAACCCATCCTGGGAATTGTCAGTACCTGCCCTCAGGATGTCATATTGCCTCTGCTCCTCCTTTATAGACAGGCCATTTCTGGCATGAGGACCTATGTGATTCGTCAGGTAAATTAAACCACTACGTTCCTCATTATTGCTCTCGGTGTCTGTTGAGTCTTGGCAGCTGTTGCTGGGGGAGGCATCCCTTTCAGAAGAGATAGATTTTGCTTTGGAAAGCAGCAACAAGTTTTCTACTGCGCTGTCTTGAGCTGTATGGTTGGAACGAGCCTGATTGTCCCCGAGGGGCTTGTGGAGTTGATACATAGAGCTGATGACGGGCACAACTTCAGAGCTGCCTGGCGGTGTCTGCACAAGTGGACGCAAAGACTCTGCTCCTAGATAGCTAATGGCATTGTTAATGGCCTGGTCTATAACATGAGTCTGCATCATCTCATTCTCCTTCTCGTAATTGGTGGTGGCATCATAGGGAAGGTCAGACAGACACTTCTCACCTGTGTTTGAAAATAGGCAGGGGGTTAGATGTTGGGAAGGAAATGCAGCTAAACAACTGAACTTTCTGCATCAATGAAACCAAACCCTTCTCTACAGACTGGGATCCCTGGTTGAATTTCAAAGTCCTTGCTGCACATTGGGCTCTGAGCCTGGTGAATAAAGGCAGTGCGGCACTGCAGTTGCATGGCTGGCATATGTCTTACGAGACAAAGTCTCTCTAGGGACCCTGGCCCATAGAAGAGAGTGAAGATCATGAAGCATAACAAATAGTGTTTAAAGCTAGTTGAACTGTTGTATCTGCCGATCAAACCTAGATGCAAGCTTGCATGTATGCAGTAGGGTCCACTAGGAAAAGTACAGCTATACATATATAAATTGTTAGAAGATTAACTTATGGCTATGAGCCATAAGCACCAAGTTGCTGTGTGCCCAGACTTCTGCAAGTGCCTAGTTTAGGAGTCAAACTTCCCATCTAAAAGAAGGAATTCAGCACTCCTGAAAATCAGGCTCCTTTAATGCATGTTTTGGTTGGACACCCCAAAATTGCTATGACTACTATTATTGGTCACTTCTGAAAAACTGGATCAAAAAAGAGTAAGTTTAAAAATAAAACATAAGGCCTGGGAATTAGAGGAACTGTTTAAACATGTGGCTGGTGATTTAAAATACATCAACGCATTATGCTGTGCTATTGCTCATGCTACTGAAGTTTGTTCAGTTTACAAGCAGCCTTGAATTACAAATAGGCTCCTCATAGTATTTCTAATACATCTGTGTTATGACCAGTCCCATAAAGGATCACTGGGGATCATAAAGCAGAGAGAACTTTCTTCAGCTTTCCAGACAGTATTGCTTAGGGTGCCATACACTGGTTTTTGGATGGGTTTGGGCAGAGCTTAGGAGATCAATGGAGGTTGCAGGTATCCCCAAAGATTCCATGACATGAGGGCTAACTGAGGAGAAAGTGTCTGGTGCAAACTCTGCAAGAGGAACTTGGCAGAAACTTCCCTCCTGGGCTGTTGCAAATGCAGCAGGGCTTTACTCAAATGAGGAGGGTTTCCAAACTCAGTGAAGGGGTTGACATACAGTCTGGAAACCCTTTGGGTTAAATCCTGCAAGAGTAGTACTGCAGTGCAGTAAGTCATGGTGCTCATCCAGCTCTACTTGGACCCCTGCTTCCCCTGAAAACCTAATTCCTTCCTCCACTACTCTAGCACTGGGCTGTGACCCTATGCAGACCCTATGCATTGACTTCTGCATTCAAAGGAGCCTCATAGGGTGATGAAGCTCTCCAGTTGCTGCTCAGGTCTCTCACCATGTGATCAGTCACATAGAGGCACCCCCAAAATGTGAAAAGGCAAATACTGTAAAAGATGGAATAGGAGACATCCTCTCCCTGTGGGAGTTGGTGTTTTGGATGGGTGAAGTGCCATCTCATTGCCTGGGACTTTATTGTAATTTATATAATTCTTCTGGGGGGTTTTCAATTCAGGGTCCAATGATAAAGAGTACAGGATGGTCTAGGAGAAGGTTTGAAGGCTGACAGTTTTCTGTTGATCTTAAAAATTTGGTTGTCACTACTCTACTACCACTCCAAAGTCAGGACAATATTTGGCACAGAAGAGGAAGTAGCACTGCTTTCAGCTACATTACTGCCTGGCTGAATTTCCATTAGAGGAGCACAACACAGACACCTGCAAAAAATGGATACATCACTTGCTTCTGTTTCCTTCTGCATCCCCCTCCCTTTTCTCTGACCACACTAGCTCAGCCTCATTTCTGGTAGAGTTTTTATTAGCTGCACTGTTTTAATCCCCCAGTTTTGAAATGTAGAGTGCCAGTAATTCAAAACAGACTCTGTCCAAGTGTCTGACTTAATACAAGTTTAACTGCATTTTTAATAATAATTTATACCCTTGACAGAAAATCACAAGACTAAGGCATTTTAGTTTACAAATCCACTAGCCATAGTCTATATGCACTGTACATCACTAAAAGGCTGATAGCAGAACCTGGGCTTGCTTAATACACAAAAAATTAGGCATTCAGGGGAGCATGATTTTAGAAGCTGCTTATTGGTCAATATTTCCTTTAAGCAGTGTAACCAGACTATAGCTGACAGAAGCAATCAATCCTCTTAAGGAAAATCTGTTGCAATACAAGACTGTCTCAAACACACACAAGCATAAGGTAGGCAGGTATCGTTTTTACATCTGGGCCATGCAGATACTGCTTGTACTTGTTAAAAAGAATAGCTCGTTTTGTGGTTATCAAAGCATAAGTCAGTCGAACAGCTAACAGTCTGAAACATTTTGGAAGCTCTGAAGGGTTTCAGGGTTCCTGTAACTAAAGGCTAACAAACAGCTAGTAGTTTAATTCTGATAGGCTTTGCTGGGTGATGTTAAACATATTAGACATGTTTCTGTCTGACCTGTTACTGGCCAACCTGACTGCCCTTTAGTTTGGGAAGCCCATTTCGGCTCTTAGACCTGGGATCTGTTCTTCTTGCAAAGATCGATGTCACATGCTAGCATTGCCACTGCTCAACTGCTGTCAAAGAGTTGTACAGCTAAATAGCTCAACCTGGTAAATGAGTTCAGTCTGGAAAGTAACAAATCTACTCTTGAGAAGAGTGTGCTGCCTCTGCAGTATGGGTGTTACCATTGTACCTTCTTTGAATTCAGCACTGGGCTGAAACTTAATCCAAGGGGGTCTATAAGGAAAGTATAACACTGTGTTCTTTGCAATAGTCATTGGTGCTTCTTGTTTCCTATCTAGCCCCGAGGTTTATTCTTGGTGGGCTTGGTTTAATGAAAACCTGTACTTCCTATGGCATTACTAACCAGGATTCTTCCGGTCTCACATCTCCCCTCTTTTAAAGTCTCTCAATGAATCTACACTGACTAAAGTCAAGATAGGTAAAGAAAATTGGGCCTTGTATCTTTTTTAAGTAGTCAAATTATAGCACTATAATTTTTAGGTGCCAGAAGGGAGAGAAGGGAACTTATTTCAACAATGGTGAAACAGCCCTTTAATTCAACTTTTATTCTCCTATTACAGAAAAGGGATCCAGGCAAGTGGGCCATAGCTGGAGTCAGGGCCACTTGTAAGAAGAAGGGTGATGACTGCAGAGAACAGGGAGGAAGGCAATTTGGAAGTGTTTAATGCTGCTCTTTGTTGGTGGAGTCCAATCTTTAGAAGATCAACAAAACCTCCGCAAAGATTTGCTGTCACTAGCATGCCTTCTTACACCATACCCTGAATAACTGCAGAAAACCGCTGCCTCCTGAGTCTCCAATTTGAGCAGCTTTCACTATTGTTTGTCAGCATGAGGATGGTAAGGAAGACAAAAAAATGAATCCACCCCCCACCCTCACAAGAAGAAAATATCTTAGTGTCCTTTAAAAATGTTGGGCTTTCTGGTGCCTTTACAGAACCAATATTTTTCCTTGAGTAAAAAGTGTAAAATCAAATTCAATCCAGAGACTTCTGCAGAATTGCCTCCATGCACTAATCTCATCCCATGGCCCCTCCAGCTGCCCTCTTGACCCTTTTCCTTCCCAAACTCTAACTTCCTTTGCTCTCTCCCTTATTGAATCTCTTCATGCTCTGTATCTTAGCCTCCCTTTTCTGGCTCATGCACCAGCCCTCAGACAATCCATGCAAAGTACTTTATAAGAACTAGATAACCATGCACATCTCTCCCTGTAGCCTTCCTTCATCGACCCCTGTTCTCTTCCAGAATTTTTTCTACTCCTGCTGCTTGGTCACACCTTTGATCAACTGCAGTTGATCTTAGACAATCTCAGTGCTACTGAACCTTCCCAATGGCCTTTCCCTAAACAAATGACAAAAGACTCTTGTGTATCCCTTTACTCTTGTTTTTTTCTGTAATAATAAATAAAACCAATCATGCTCACTTCCTAGGCCCTATGCTTTAGAGGCTCTATGGTCTCCTCACTTCTCTGCTACTTCAGATTACTTCTGCAGTCCCCTCTCTTCCTCTCTGTCAACATCTTCCAGGGTTCTTGGCTGACCCTCTCCTTCTTCTCCAGGAGAACCCTTCTCTAGCATAGTTAGCACAGGACACAGATGAAGACTACGGTGTACCTGTGTGCACCTGCCCACTTTGTGTCCTGCCACAAAGTGGAATCTCTCTCTCTAACCTGGTCTGTTATACCTGCTCCCTCTCCTTAAAACTTAATTCTCTCCTTCAGGAGCTGCTATAAAACTAAATGGAGTCTGAATATTCCAGCACCCAGCTAGATAACCAGAGTTCAAGTTTTCCTTTGGCTTCCAGGTTTTTGAGGTTTTAAATCCAATTCTAAAGAGCAATTCCATTTTTATCTGTGTTATTTAATTTCCTTTAGCCACATCTATGTGGCAAACTTACTGTGTTGGGCTGTGGTGCTTCAAGCACACCTCACTGTCTGTGTGGGTTCCTGCCTAAACTGGAAGTGGTGTATCTATGTTTGGTAGGTGCTGCAGGCATGCTCAACAGTGCTGAAGTGAAGCTAATTAGCGCTCACTGCTATGTGTATACGGCTATTACTGAAAAGTAATGCAGCATGTTGAATGTTCCTACTTAGTGGCACAGCAAGTCTGTCATCTTGACATAACATTTGATTTTGCTACACCATTGCTACACTGAAGACAGAATACCAAAGGAAAAATAAAATGGACACAACTTCCAATCTCGGTCACTGAAGCAAGAAAATGTCTTTTAATAAAGGAAAGAAGCATACTCTGGCAACTGGGGAGTAAGAGTTGCTTTCGGTTTGAATGCAGATAGTTGTGCATAACCATCTTGGTTTTACTTTTACTATCTTCATCTGTCAGACACCTGAGCACCTATCTCCAGGCTCATCCAAGAATGGATCAGGCAAGCATGCAGCCCTTCTGCAGCAGCGAAAGATTATTAACACTGCACATTCATCTGCACACACATAACCTCACATCTAGCAAAAAGCAGGGCTCTGCATCCAATTTAAAGTTAACAAAGTTCCTAAACAGAGGCTTCCTATTCCTAGAATCATAATAATAAAGACCTGGGCTAAGAACAGTAAGAAAGGGCATAAAGGCTCAAAACAAATGTATCAAAACCCTACTGGACATTTTACCCTGACAGGTTACACATGCCGAAATGGCTAGCTGGGAAATTGCCCATTTTGAGTGTATCCTTACACTTGACCCTACAGACTTACATCCCATTAGTGTAATCATAGCAAATCATAAAGCAAGATGGAAAACCCTATTAGGTTTTTTTTTAGGAGACAGCAAACGTTTAACTCTTACCAACAAATTTCTGAGGCATAGAGCTCTTACGTTTGGCGACGTTACTTGCTAGTCTATCCAGCACGAGGGATCGCTCTGGCCCTATCTTGCACAAGTCTTCAGGCATTTCGCTCTGGTGAGTTTCCTCTTTTATGACTGAAATCAAATAACATCAGATTAAGTACGCTTGCTCCGTTTTATATGGAACATCAGTTCGTATGATTTTAGTCACACTTCCAGTAGCATCTGACTATACAAAAGTAGGAGTTCACAATGACAGAGACGGGCTGATTTTCACTCCTTATATCACGGTCCCTCATGCTGACTAATTTATATCACTACACTCATTCCCTTTGTAGAGATAAGCTTGTGAAGTATAACTGACACTGCTGAAGTCCGATTCTCCATTGCTCTGCCCCTTGTTTCATGTAGTGCACCATTGCAAAGCGAATATATAACGCAATGGTGCTGGTTTGTTTTACAATGGTGCAAGGGATGGACTGTGGTACAGTGAAAGTAAGAACAAACCCTATGATCTTTAATACCATATTAGATGCCAAGCACTCCATCCCTTGGCCTGTCCTCAGCTCTTTTTAGTAATGAAAACACACACTTCTATTACCATTGCTTCCACAGAAACAAGGGCATGGCTGTCACTTGGGTAAAGTGGAACATATTTATAATTTACACCAAAAACAACTGCTCTGGCAGTTCTCTATTACCCCACTTCCTTGATGCAGTTTTAGTCATTAAAATCCAATTTTAGCTAGGCCAGTGGCTAAACATATTTACTGTGGAGCACTGACCTCCTGCACTCATTCTGTTTACTGACTTCCCACTGCTGGTAAATGTGTAGGGGGCTGAGAAAGGAAGCTCAACAAAGAGAGTCTTAGTTCTGAGGCATTAGGAAAAGGGTTCTGGTTATTTACAGTGTTGCAACTGTCTGTGGAAGTTGAAGGAGGTACGAAAATGAAGGGGTATGACAATGGTTCTCTGAAAGTATCCTGGGCATCCCATCAAGTGCATCAGCATGTATTGAGTGATAATTTCCTGGGTCTTTGTGGGGTTTTGTCTGTTGCATAAAATTGTGACTGGTATCAAATGGCAAAGTGAAAAGAATAGGTGATGAGGCTTTGATTTAGCTACTCGGGGTCCAAACCTTGGTCTGCATTTTATACTCTATACAGGCTGATGAACATGTTTTTCCCAATGGATGTGTTCACTTATATATAAAAGTTTCCATGGCACTTCTGGCTGCTGTAACTAGGCATCTCACTGCAGTAGAAGTAACTATACTGGGCATCTGCAATGAGGATGCACTACAGCCAGATTTTTTGTAACAAATTTCTACAAAGAGTAGCTGAGGTAGCTGATAATGGTCCCATGGAGGACCATCCTAAAACCCAGTGGTGGGAGCAATCCAGCAGATCTTAACCAGTGCTCCAGGAGAACATATTGCAGTGTCTGAATCATGACAACTGGGCCCTAGACCATCAAAGATTTTAAAGGTTGGGAACAGCAGCAGAAGTGACCAGACAGGCAGTGTAGGTGTGGGTGCTGTGTCACACCCGTTACAGAGGCAAGCCCCAAGTCTTTTACTAGCTAATGCATGCAACTGTTTTCATAAGTAGTTTATGGAAAAACAGTGCAAGTCCACAATGATAAACTTGCATCTCCTTGGGATAATGGCCCAAAGCAACAAGCAGTCATAGTTTCCATGGCATTAAATGTCAAATAAGGATAGGCCAGTATTTCAACATCATTAATTTTTCAAGAAAAATTATCAACCCAAAATGAAAAGTGTAGATTACAGAATATGTTCCAGGTTTTGCAACTGTACCCCCAAGAATTTTGGTTACAAATCTATAGTCTCTAAAGAAAAACATGGACGAAAATATTTTGTCTGGTTTTTTTGTGGAACTTTTCCTAACTTGCTTCAATATTAGTATGTGTCTAAATAGTGTTGACTTGGCCAGGTTTTGTTTTTGCCACATGTTGCCGTATTTTCCCCAATTACTTTTCATAACATAATAAACTACAACAGTGAAGTTCAATCTATAAATTCTTGTTATTTTATATACTGCTGGGAAAGGTTGCATGAAGCTCCCACTGATGTCTATGGGAACAGTGCCAGGCATTGGGGAGGGAATTGCGGCCGTAACGAAGACTATGTGAGTTTTGCCACTGACTTCAGTGGACTCAGAGATTCATCCTGAAGCTCCCATAGCTTCTTCTTTGTTTAAAATGACAAAATAAAATGATAGAAAATGTATAAGCTCTTGTTCATCTTCTCCTATCTCTTCTCTGGGAAGAATGTTTCTCAACGAAATCTGTCAGGTTCCTTAAGAAAGTAGCTGAAACCCAACTGTTCAGGTTTTTTCAATTAGGTTGGGCAAAATGCTAAAAACACATACATAATCCTGCTGTAACAGAAAGATGGACTGGATGACCTAATAGGGCTTTCCACCTCTAACTTTTCTATGAATATAAAAAAATCAGTGGATTTTATTGCTATTGTAATAGCTCCATAATACACACAGAAAAGCTATATGAACAGTAGTTCTTGCATATAAGCCTTAGTTACTTTTCTAAGTATAATAAACATTTTAAAATACCACAAGGACCTTGACTCATTCTGATCTGCTTCATTGCACATTCTCCTCTTTAAGGAAATAAGGAAAATAACTTAAATATTGCAAAATGGCATTTATAGTCAGAGAAACACTGATTGTGATGAGGCAGGGCGCATGGTTGATACTTTAAAATACCAGGATTGCTTTCACCACACTTTTATTTTTAAAAGGATGAAAAAAATATTTTATGAAATGAGAAATAATATAATTTTTATTTAAAAAATGCAGCAAGATATAGTGGTTAAAAAAATGCTACTCCCTCCATTTTACCCCAGGTTTGTAAAATCAAAGGCCTGTTAGAGGTAATGGGAATCTGTATGATATTTCTCATTGTATATGCAAGAGAGAAATGCTTCTTATAAGCCACTCATAAATATGCCAAATTTCAACCTGATTCAAATATTGAATACTGAGTTGTACAACCCTAAACTGGTGTGAACACCTAAGTCTTTTTTTGTCATAGTTTACTATCAACATAGTGCAATTCCCAGAACTTGATAGTTATTTCATATGAAAGTCTCTGGTTACTGACCTCAGTTTCATCTGCATATTTTTCTTTACTAACATTTTATTTTCAGCCAGTAGCTGAAAAACTCATACAGATTTTCCTATTTTGCATGCAGACATTTCAAACCTTTATGCCAGGCACTGAATATTTTAATCCCAGACAGAATATTTGCTTCTAAATCCTATCATCACTTTATGGAATAAATATTGAGTGAGTATATTAGCTGCAGCTTTTCTATTTATACTTTCTCCAGCCCCTCAACAAAATTAGAAGGGGCGCCGCTCTAACATGCTGTCTGTCAGAAAAATCTCAGTGTTATCATTATGTGCATATACTTAACATTATCTGATAACATGTAAAAACATATTCAAGTTCTGTCTGGATATCCAATATTAAATAAGGCATCATTGCAAATAGGAAGGAGAGAACCTTCCTTTTTGTCATCTGACAAACTGAATAATCTGTACTGACAAGATCAAAAGAGGTGTACAAGAAATGTGCTTTACCAGGCAGACTCTAACCTTAAATTCTGACATATGCTTGAGCCAATGTTTTCCACCTAGATCACTGAATATAAATGTAGCCTGTATAATTTTCCCTTGTGATCAGCCCCCTACATCTTGTTGGTATTTTTATATTAAACTATTCACAGATCCTAATCAATCTCTGGCACATTATTCCCAAGGAGAATGAATCAGGGCTATAACACTGGGGATGGAATGGAATGTCAGAATGAACTGATCCTCCCGGAAAAACCCACCCCAAAACTGGGTCTCTGACAGGCATGAGGCATACCTGCCTCACTTGATTTAGGTTGATATTTGTTTGCTGATGGTCCATTTTCCACAGAGGCTGTCTTGGGTGTACTGACCGACTCCTACGTTGTAGGGCAGATACAAGGATTTTTTTTTCCTTGTTTATCTTATTGGGTTGGGAAATGAAAAAGCTCAGAAAACCAACTTATTACCAAACCTTGCCCCAAGCATTATCATGGTGAGTGTAAGAGTTCTGAATCGCAAAGCAGTTTACTTAGGTTTTAAAGGAAATAGGCCAGGTTCTACTCCACCCTGCTCAAGTCCCTGCAAATCCATACATGCAGCTATGTTTGTAACACACCATCTTCTTACCCTTAAGAGTGAGTCACATTCAAAAAAGATCAGTGAGAAGGAGGAAGACTCACATACCTTTTGTATTAATAGATTTTCAGAGACTCAATCAGGTAGAATAGAACTGCACTTTGGTGCCTAAATCCACTTACATACCTAAAAAGTGGAACAGAATCTGTCCGTCTCTACATACAACCCCAAAATAGCTTTTTACGCATGACTGTAAATAAGCAAAGGATGCCAACTAGTCATTGAATACAGTAATCACTCCAAGTGCAATAGATATTTTATCTCCAAACATCTGTTCAGTGGCTCCACAACTCATAGTTCCTCTTAAGGTGCAGTAGTTCCAGGACAGTTCTGTGGGGAATTACATTTGCAGCTCATCACTGATCAATCAGGACTGGTTCCAAGATTGGCCTTTCTGCTTTGTACACTTACCAGGATACAGGCTGCCCGAGAGGCTCATGGTTTGCAAGTAGTTGTGGCAACGTTCTTTATGCTCTTCTAAAGAGCTGCGTTGTTTATAGCTCCGGCCACAATATCCACACTTGTGAGGTTTTCCCACTGCAGAGAACAAAATGTAGGAAGTAAGTAAAATTAAATTATCAATAGTATAATAATGACAATAACAGGAAGTCAGCTAGGGTTATGACCACCTGTGACCAACAGAAAAAGTAGGGCATTTAGGGAATCTAAAAGAAACAATGACAATCCAGTTACAAGCTTTTTAATATCCAGGTCAAATCATGAACTGGTGAAAGTGATTTTGATGTATCTACCCTGATTTACACTGGATGATGAAGGTGGCCTTAAATCTCCAGAAGCAGAAGCTCATTTACCAAACCATGTTTTGTGTTGTTGATGATCCCAGTTGATTTTCTGTTCTGCTTTGGAATTGCTTCAAAAATCTAATGTTAAATGCAGTATCCAACAGATTATTTTACAGCAGCGACTGCTGGCAAGCACTAGCTCAACCAGAGAATCATAGAGGCACCATATAGATTAAAGCATAGTAGCAAATTTGGTAACATTTATCTAAATATTTTGTTTCTTCCTTTTTAACTGCTTATTAGATGTAAAAATAATTGCAAAACTCCAGGACAAATAATGTTAAAACCCTGAATTTTCAAGGTTGAAACCCATCTTGAAATGCTGGGATTCCTATTTCTGGAATTTCAGAACCTCACACCTTATCCTCTAGAATCCTTAGCAGTCAGGAGTTGCTGGTTTGGTAGTTTTCAGTAATTAAGTCTGTCTGTTCAAAGAGCAGGTGCAAAAAGAAGTGGAGGTATGCAAGCCTGCCCCCTCTCCATGCTTGGATAATGTGCCTCAGCTACAAAGTGGGGGGCCAAGAAGGGAATCCTATCACTACAGCCCAGAGCCGTAGACATACTTAGGCAGCTAACTCTCATCATTGGGTACCAAAGCATCACTACAGTTCTGGGCCTAAATCCATGAATTATTTACCTCTGCAGAGACTGCCAATGAGGAAAGCCAACAAGGGATACTCTTTGAAGTGTGGACACCCTGCCACTAGACAGAGGTGAACTGGTTCTCCTGTAATGGGAACTGACTCAATCCTTTACCTAAACATGAGCTAACTCTAAACTGAGGTTCAACACAGTTTGGAAAATACTAAATCCTTTTAGATTTACTTTCCTTTGTATTTCCCGCTTATGGAAGCATTGAAGTATCATCAAAAAGCTTGATCAGATAGAAAAAGCACTGGAAACCCCACAGTAAAGACTGTTAGTGTTTAATTTCTGGTCCCACATTTGCAGCCTTACAGTTAAAAAGACTATATTGACAGTTTTCATCAGAAGCTATGCATGGTTTGTCAGAACCTTCTCCATCTTATACCTTGTATAACAACAGCATTTCTATTGCCCCTACCACTGTAGAAAGCCATTAGCACCGAGCTAACTTTCACGGGTATATTCCTAATACTATGCCCTCCAGTGAAGGCTCTCTCTTAAATAATGACAGAGAGTATTCCAGCTTAATTCCTAAACTCAGATGAGACTGTGGACCTAGGTAGCACAGCTGCTGTTTGCTTTTAGGTTTGGGAGCAAGGGTCTGGATTTGCTTCTCAAAATGAGCAAGATCTTTTGGTCTTTTTTAGGCACTGGGAAGATTGTTTTCCACTGGAAAGTCAGAGTATTTTAGAAAATAAATCTTTATATTACTCCTGATAGATGGAGCTGCACTTGTCTACAAGAGTTCTTATATTTAAAAAGAAGCGGCCTCCTTGTCCCACAAAAGCGCCTCTTGCAGCCTACATTCTATGTTGAGCGCTATATGTAAGTTCAGCCTATATATAGAGAAGCAGGCCTTATACTGGCTCTGCAATTTCACTCACATCCTGAAATCCATAATTAATGCAAGCAACTCCAACTCATGCAAATCATCCCATGAAAGAGGACCCTGACATGGGACCTTCCAACCAACTTGATGCTACGAGGAGGGAAAAAATTGCTTTTTGGGGGGTCACCAAAGTAAGCAGTTTAGTAACTCTCACACAGCTAAAACACGGCAGCCAATCATTTCTTGTTCATGTCACAGCTTCAACATAAGAGGACCTGCATCCTGAATGAAGAAGACTGGATGGCAGTGAGCACATTCACAATTCAGGACTCAGCCCAGAACAAAAGATACTTTGCCTGGGAACTGCTGAAGTGCTCCAGTGTGGTAACTTACCCGAGTGAGTCCTCAGGTGACCGGTGAGGGCATCCCTGCGACGGCAAGCATAGTTGCACAAGTGGCATTTGAAGGGCTTTTCACCTGAGTGAAGTTTTATGTGACGGAGGAGGTTGCCTTTCTGAGTAAAGGAGGCTCCACACTGACTGCACTGGAAAGGGCGTTCCCCTGAGTGGAGGAGAAGGAGAAATTTGTGAGAACAAAAAATCTTACATAGTAACAAGAGAAAGATTTCAGTGAGAAAGTTGTTTTCCCACTAGTGCTCTGACTTCCACCGGCTGCAGGTTTGATATAACATGAGGCTTTCAGACTAAACCTGCCAGTTTCTTAACGCTTCACTGGCTGGGTCAATTTGATCTGAAAATCTAATTTTTTTTCCCTAAATCAGAATGGCACATCACAATGCAAATTCAAACTCATTTAAATAAAGTGACTGCAACATTTTGTGTTGAAGAGCCACTCTTCCTGATCAGCAGTTTTGGAATAAACCAATATCCAATTTTGCATGTTGTGGCATTTGGTGGGGTTTTTAATGTGGCTTTTTTCAAAGGGTCTTTAAAATATGCCACTGAAGCAGCAAAATAAAAAGGAAACTCATTAAAAATGCATTTCAGGATCACAAGTTCATTTCAGCGTTACATTCTTATATTTAAATGAAAGGCACTTCATTATAACAGTTATAATAACTTCTTTTCATTTACATTTTCCCTGTATTTTCCCTTTCAATTTCTTCTCCATTACCTGTCTGTCCCTAACCAGCCAAATCAGGAAAGAGACAGAAAGAGAGAGAGAGAGAGAGAGAGAAATAAAATAAGTTAAGACAGTGCAAAGGAAACCCTGTACCTTCCATACAAAAGTCCTGACCCTTCTCTAGGCAGGATATGAACGTAGGAGTTGTATTAATGGGCGCTGCTTTTCTCTATTTCAGAGAGGGGAAAAAAAAACCCTTTAAGGAACACAGCCATTATTTGTCTAAATTGCTACATATTATCAAGTGAGTAAGTCAGATTGCCAATATAAAGATTTAAATAAGGCTTTGTTTTGTATTTTCTTCCCTTCTTATTGCTCTTTGAAGTTGATATGCTCTTTTGGTTTGAGGTACTTGATTTTTGCATTTCTGGTAAATGCGATATTCTGCATTTTGAGTTGTACTAAATGGGTGCACCAATTTACATATGAAAAAAAATCCTGTATATCATGCCCCACTTTCCAGCATTCTATTTGCCATAGGAAATAGTCCCTAACTCTTAAGTCAAACCAGTCTTTGAAATTTATTTGCTTATTTCTGTTTCTCTTAAACATCTAAGCTAAAATTAGGGTAAGTTATCCAAGATTTTAACATTAGTTTTATTTTTTGTACAAAAAAAGAAAAAGAAAAAAAGAAAAATATTATCCAGTGCAAAAGAACTGCACTTGTTTACAAATATTACACAAGCTATACAATTTTCTTTCCAATCACATGGATGTCTTTTAGGACATACTTAGGAATAACTAGCTTGGGTATTCATCTGTGTCAATATCAAAATTAAGCTATAACCATTCTTACTATTGAGTAATGTGGTTGGAAAGCTGAGAAACAAGCAGATAGTAGCATGATCACATGTGATGGACAACTGTAATCAGAGCCAGCACTAACACGATAAAGAGGTGCTAATGTTAGGATATTTTGTAGAAAAGTAACTTGACTGACCAAACATCCTCAAATAGGTCAAGAACCTGTTTTAACTTCAAGGAAATGAGCTCCTGTATTCACTTAAAACTTTGAGAGCTAAAATCCTCATCCACTTTAAAGTGGTAGATAGCCTCATAAAAGAATGAGAAGAGAACCCCACTGGGTTTTACAGTATGACCTCTTGAGAAGAAGCCGTTTACTGAAGAAGTTGCAAACAACTGAGCTGTTCTTTGGGAGTATGTTTTTGGTTTAGTTATATTCTCCCAATTTTGGTGACAGTTAATATATGAGATATTTTTGTAGGTGGAATGAAACAGTGACTGAGAAGGCAGTTCTCACTGATGGTCACAAATACAGAGGAAATGGTTATTTTTCACTAAGCAGCATTTCAATTAGGTTTACTCAGAGGATCAAATCAGGATAAAAGTATGCAGGGGTATATGTGCAGAGTAAGAATGAAATGTATCTCCAGCCTACAGCTCTCATAATTACAGGGTGAAACTTTAGGTTGGGCGGAAAAGGCAGACAGATGGAGTATTTGAAATGAGACTGTTGCGTGTTGTATAATGCTACAAAGCTCAACATGGGATGAAATATTGGGGAACCAATACCTGACTCACTATATGATGACTGCTGAAAATACACCAGTAGTGAATGCCTATTTTATTCACATCCTTAGGTTGTTCATTCTATCATTGTTGGACATGTGCTTTATATGGCACCTAACAGATGAAACTGCTTTCCTAAGGAAACTGGTCACATCTGGAATGGGCCAAGGCTAATCATCTCCCTACCAAGAAGAAACAACATGATAGTCCCCCCAGTTCCCAAAGTAAAATCAATCTTTTTTTACTTGAGTAATCTGGTCTAACGGTTGCTTTCTGATTTCCTGCCTTTCCGAGCAGTACTCTTTCTGGGTAGCTTTCACCCCATGCAGAGATCCAGAAAGACAGGACTCTGTAGCATAGGTCTTGTGTAGACTTTCAGTCTTCCCCTGTGAGAAAGGTCCAGCATCTTATTTGCAACCTTTTCATCCCCCTTCAGTAAAGTGTCTTTTACTGCACACACATACACACCTCTCACACTCCCATACATGCTTAGTTTTATCCTCTCTCTGCTGGAATAAACCAGCTATCGTGTACATAGGTGCTGAGCTGATTCATCTTCCCCAAACAGGCCCAGTCAGGTGCAATTCTGACCTGCAACATGGCCCTCTCTAAAGGTCTATCTCCAAATTATGTGACATGGAAATGATCCTGAGGGGGTGGAAGACATTCAGCTTTCAGAAGCATTGCAGGTGCTTGACTTTTTTCCAAGAACAGGACATGTTGTTTTCATGAGTTGGAAAAAATGAGGATTCTTTTGACAGAAAGGGCCTCTACCTTTTGGGACATTAGCAAAGATTTTAAATCTAGGTCCTGACAGGAGACTATCGAGCGCTCTAATGCACTGTGTTACCCTGCAGGGAGAGTCACAGTGAACTCTGGAACTATACTGTAGCAGTGGGCAACAGATATGATAATGGCTCCAAGTGTCTGATGCCTAACTAGAGAAATATGGAGGTCCAGATTCTCAAAAGCACTTAGGTGCCTAACTCCTGCTGATTACAGCAGGCAGCAGGTACCAATCTATCTCTGAGGACCAGGTGACCACACAGCAGAATCAAAGGGTCTAGGGCTGGATCCCAGTGGAGCACAGACAGCACAGATAAAAAATACAGCTAAGCCAGGTAAGCATGAATCTATACAGATGTCTGATGTCTCAAAATCAGCAACTATGAGTTTTCCCTTTCAAATGTTCCTTCTCCTAACGTTCAACCTCAGAGTTAGACTGAATACGAGCAATCAACTAAGAGACTGGGGAGAAGATATTTATGAAATGAGTTCTCTTCTTCAATAAGGAGAAGAAGGTAAAAATACTAGTGAATGGCTGGTGTTTTAGAGCTACTTAGAACAGATGGGGCTGGGTAGAAAATATCAAGTGCTCCTCTGCATATCTGCACTTGGCAGGTGTATTCATTAAATGTAATTATACCTTTTATCAGGCCAGGCAGCCATTATATTTTGGCATTTTAGTGTGCCAGAGTTTTATTCATTTATCAAATATTTATTTAAGAGAACTTCACTGCATACGCAGGTTTTACATGAATTAGCAGGCAAGTAATTCATTTGCAAGGCTTATTCCTTCATCAGGCACGCATTGAAATGGGCTTCAGTGAGTCAGTTAAATGTCTCTAACAGTGATTCCCATTTCTACTTTAATTCTCAAAGCACAAGTCAAAGGAAAAAAGGTGACCGCTGTATCCCTAAGACAGCCCTTCAATTTAGACTCACAGGCTCTGAACCTGAGCTTCGACACCTGTCCCTGACTTCAGCAG